CCTAAAACGTGATGTTTCTTTATCCATGAACAGAAATACTCCACCCACTAGATGATTGTTCTGGTGGGAAGAAAACAACCGTATCTTCTGAGAATGGAAGGAGTATAGAAAAAAAACACAAGTAGACGTAGGGTTGCACCTGCTATGTAGCCTTTTCCTTTCTGTGGTTGGCAATCATGCATCTGGTCTCAAGATCGGTTATCTTCATTGAGGGGGTGGTTGTATTATCTGAAAGATTATTAGTTGTGGAGGAAGTGCACTCCGTAAAGAGAGATACTATTGAGTTTCGAATTGCGCTCACGTTTCCATTTTCGGAAGGCTTCACTGATTAGTTTAATTTTTCAACACTGGTTCATGAAAATGTTTACAGTAATTGACGTTTAAGAAATGATTAACTGAAAACTTCTAAGGAATGATTTCCTTACTTCGATTTGTTGGAAATCAGATTGTTACGATACGCAATGAACCACACACGACAAAGACTTGTTAATTGCTGTCTCCGTTGTTTGCATAGAGTTTAAATAATGTTTATATCATTTGACATTATTTGATCTTTTATCTTCTGAAACACGATATTATACGGAAAGATGCGGTAGAGAAATACATGCGAGGTTCTGGCTTTGACGCTGTTTTCTAGACTGCCAGATCATACAACTTGGCATTCTACTTTGACTACATAAAACATTCGCATCGAGCTTGAAACTCTACGATCTAGACTTCAAAACACAAGACCGCAATTGGCCGACATTAAACTACGCAGTCGGTGCAGAGTCTAAAAATAAGGAACAATTCACGACTTAAAACACGCGGAGTCGGATGAGTCGACGAGAGCACGAGCGAAGAGCAAATCGCAGTTGCGCGAGGGATAGATACGACGAGGATGCGGCATTTCGGACAGATTCACGACTGCGAGGAAAATTTTGATTCGTGGCGCTTAGGTTTTGAGAACAGCTTTTGACAGCAGAGCAGAGCCGCATGGATGGCGCAGGTGGACAGGGAATTCATGAACTAGAACCATCAGAGAACAGCGGCAAGCACGAGCGAAACCCTAATTGGGGGTGGCAGCATTGATGAATAGGAAGGGCGTCGGGGCGGCCTTGCTTGAAAACCATTCATCCACTAATTGGATGACAGATGCTAAGAATCATCGTATTTATTACATCCATCCAATATATCGCCTACCATTCTGTGTCGTCGCCAAGAGATGCCGGCGTCGTCAGGTCGACGAGAGTTCGCCGATTTCGTCGCATCGGTCACTATGTGAAGGTTTTCGTTCGCCGAATCGCGTCTCCGTGGCATCGCCGCGGTAGGGTTGCATTGTGGCGCTCGTTGAGACCGTGCGCTGACATGGCATCCAACTTGCTCGGTCACCATTAATTGAACAGTTGAAGCTCGTGAACATTGTGATGCGTCATATAAAGAAAACAGCATGTTCATTTCTTTTTAAATTATATGTTGTAGTTAATGTTTGTGTTAGTTTTGAAGAATGAACTGGATAAGATTCTCATCATGATGGTTTATTAATACTTTCCGTCTTCTTTAATTCATGACGTCTTAATGTTCGTGTGTAGCATTTGTGTAACTTATGTCTCAAGTACAAATAAATAAGTATCGATTTGATACAGATTTTACTTTGCACATACCCAAGTCATCATAACTTTTATTGGAAATGCTTCATGATATGGGCAGATCCTTTGATTCATACACTTAGGTTGATTATTTATTCTTAACAAATATTTTAAAATGTGTAGAACTTTGTACTTTATATGATGTGAAGATTACAATTGAGTTACAGTTTTCATGAATTTACTAAGGTTATTTTTTGTTTGGGAGTGTCATTGAAAAAGATTACGCTAGCATTATATTTTGGTATTTCCTTCGACAATAGAAATTACAAATGTAAATCAATTCAATCAGAATATAAATGATAAACGAACCAATTTGCATCGAGTAGTAGATATGATGTTAATACGATGCACATATAATTTATTACAATACTAAGCATGGATTCAAGTAGTATATTTTGACACTAGAAATGTATATCAAAGAGACTAAGTTCATGTTAAATCAAAACAAATGAAACAGAACAGAAAAAAACTTTTATTCAATGTCCAACAATAAAATGAACATAAGACATGATATGCTTATTTGTGCATGTTCTTTAAAATTGTATATATATATATATATATAGTTATAGTTATAGTTATACACATACTACCATTGCGTCTCTTGATTTGCATCAAATAAAATAAAATAAAATATAGTGTGAGAGATGATGCAATGAATATTATTAAGCTATTGTATCAAAGTACCATGATTTCAATAGATTTTACAAACAATTAATTAATTTTAAAAAACGACCTCCAAAATAAATTTGTTTCACATACTGTATATATAGGAATATATTTACTATTATGTTTAATTTTATGAAGATTAAAGACTCTAGACTATCAAACATTAATTAAATAATTACATAAAATATGTGTTTTAGCTTTCTTTAGTTACTGTAGATTTATATTTTTATTATCTATGTAAAAAAATATAAAAATACTTAAATATATTTACATAGAATATATCTTATTTGGGAATATCACAAGTTTCTAGCATTATTGTTGATATTTGGAATTATGAAATTCTTTAATTTTTTTTTAAGTAGATTGTTTTTGTAATATTCTGCAACACCAAACTTAATTGATGAGATAACTGTAACAACCAATTACAAGCACAATTCCACATTCATATTGTTTTAACAATGTTGTTTTGATATATTGCAAATGTAATTTTAATTTTATATGTTTATGATTTGATAAATAGAACAAATGCTATACTTGTATTGTTATCTGCCAAAACAAACAAATTCAATAGCATGAGGTGAAGTGAAGATTTGAGAGCAACAGCCAGGAGTAGATAAGAGATACACTCACAATATTGCCACTAAATCAAAAGGCACAACTTGAGTTTGGATCATGAAGGTAGACTACTTAAACATTGTTAAAACATTATGAATGTGAAGACGTGTTGAATGTTGAATGATGAAGTAGCGATGGACTGGGGGCCATATATTTTCAAGGTGTGCAATGATTAAAATTCATTACTATATTGGTGTGCGTGCCATTAGTTCTAGACACTGTATAGAGTCTTGTCTCAATCTTGCTTGTTACTCCAAGAGCTCAAGTAACAAGTTTTACAAGTTATATAAAAAATGATTTTTTTTATAAATTTTTTTTAAAGCAATACAACAAATCAATTATTTAATTCTATATACTCACTTAGAAAATTACATGTGATATTTCATAATATATATATATATATATATATATATATATATATATTTTCTATTTAAAATTTTGCAAATATTATTTCACCTAAATTTATGTGAGGTTATATACAAAAAAAACTAACTTTAGCCACATTTTTAATTTACAATATATATATATATATATATATGTATATATATATTTATTATATATGTATGTATATATATAGGATTAACTTATATTTATATGTAGAATATTTATCTTACTGAATGATCTAGAATAAATTATTCTCATCTGGTGCAAATTTGACAAGTCTTACATTTGTTGTGTTTCGTTGGACTTGGAATCATTTTTTTTTGTTTTTGTTTTTTGTTTTTTAACTAAGAAAATCTATAAAAGAAAATAAAGGAAAAGAAGCAACCTTTTGTAAATTACCTCAAAAATATTTAAAAATAAAAGTATACTCTTTGTATTTAACACATATATTTCTTTATTTCATAGCACCTCCTGTCACTCATTTACAGAGGAAATCTCTGAATGTTTTTTAAATGTTCGTATACATTATGTTTTGATTAACATTCATTTCTAAAAACACATTTTATCTATAAATAATTTAAATTAAATTTAAATTATTTAAGTGTCAAATTTTTATAATCAAATACCTTACATAAAATTAACAGATTCAATCCTTATTTCTACACATTTATTGATATTTTGGATAACTCTATTGCTTTGGTTGGTGCAATCTCAAGTTCTTTATTTTGACATTATAAACTAATTATCAGAAAGTATTTTTAATTAACCTGACAGATTGATTATTGTTTAATTTACTATATATTTCATTTACTATATATATATATATATTCAATTTTTATTAATTTTAACAAATTGGTATGGCTGTGACATCAACAAAGTAAAGACTGTTTGAACATAGATACAAGGATTTTTTTTATAAATTTTTAAATAATTTTAAATAATACATTATCATTCACGAATACATTATTGAATTATTAAAGCACAAAAGTACCACTTTTAAAAATAATTGAAAAATTAGACCACTACATCTTCGATAAATATATTCAGTGTTTGAAGATATCAACAGTTCAAGTAGTAAGTGGGGGGTTTTATTTATTTTTATTATTTTTATTATTATCTCTCTCTCTCTCTCTCTCGATATATATATATATATATATATATTCTTGTTAATATCTTGTCGTATTTCAAAATAAAAAGGTGGCATCTTGATTTGATTTAGTATCAGTTATCATCTGTCAAAATTGCAATGTGCGCATGGATAGAGTACAGTAGCTTCATTGCAAATACTTATTAAATTTTGCACAAAGCACATCATGTTCGAAAAGACTATGTCTTACATCGTGCTGAAAATTCATCCAAACGACCCAAAAAAACACATTTCAATATCATTCTATTCGAAAGTTATTGTGGGAAACGGTTATTCTAGCTATGAAGACCCATCACCGTGCCACCACGGTAGAAAGCACCTAACCGGCACGGAAAAGTTAGACCATGGAGGTGGAAAAGTAATGGCTCACTGAAAAAGTACCCCGCAGATCGTTCAAGCGAGGCAGCGCGAGCGGCCGCGACCAGGAGCTCCGTGTGCGAGCCCTCATGAATGAGGTGGTGGAATCACCGGCCCACTGGGGGTGCAAGGGACTTGCCCTCCGTTCCTGGGTAATGACTGTCATCGCAGCGGGGTATTTGTGAGGGGCCCAGAATAGATCAGAACGCCTTTTCCCATTATTGCTGGCGAAATTCTTCTCAGGAAACGTGCCCCGATTGCTGGCTCCGACTTGGGTCTCCATCGTCGTGTCTCTCTGATTGTGCTTGGCAATTTTAGCATCACCATCCAGTTGCCCCTGCTTTTATCTTCCATTCGACTAAAGCTTCTGTGTGGAAGGAGTTTCCAGGATAAGCTCTGATTCGCGGTGGAAGGAGTTAGTTTCGCGCTGGTTTGTCAACTGGTGTTGGTCTGGAAACTCTGGAGGTGGAGGTTCGAGGTTGACATTTGCTGTGAGTTGTTCGTGGGTCTGGTCCCGTAGAATTGTTCCGATCAAGCGTAAATTTGACTGTGTTGCGACGCGGTTCTGGGGCAGGTGGTGAATATGGAGGAATTCTGCGCCGTGGCTGAGTTAGCGGAGTTGATCGCGCTGTAGAGTGTCCTGAAGGAGGAGTGCTGATTTTTGAGTGTTGTTTATGATATCCGTCGCTGACGGATTCGCAGTAGTGTTTGGGGTCAGAAGTGATGTGACGCGTCGCTGTTGAGTGCTGAATGTTGATAGTTGATTGGTTCAAGAAAGCCGGTTGAGTTGAGGGAAGCTTGAGTGGCTTCTTTGTGACGTGAGGTTGGTGCATTGTTGTGCTGAAATGCTCTTGAGGTTTGTTTTTGAAGAGGAGACCAGCCATGGGTGCCTTTCGAGCCGATGTAGTGCAGGAAAAGCGAGTAGTTCAGCTGGTTAAGAAATGCGTAGCTCAATACGAAGCTAAGAAAACCGCGGAGGTATGGTGTCAAGAGGCCCTTCGGTTGACATCAGCAGTCCTTACAGACGCGGCTTCGGTTAAGGCGTTTCTTGGACGATGGAAGGCTATTGAAAACCGTCTGTCGCAATTGCCTGCTCTTTTCACTGAAATGTCGCACCTTCATTGTCTTTCTGAAAATGCAGCATGCAAGAAACTTTTGAAGGTAACAGCCACTTTGCAATGGAATCTCTAAGATCGCGTGCACTGTCGACGCACAACACATGTCCTGAATCCTCTCTAGTTGATAAAGAAGGTGCAACTGTTGTCGACATTTCCACTGGTTCTATGGGCAAATGAAATTAGTATCTTGCGGTCCTGTAACCTGGGAACCATTTGTAGACCAACACTTCTGCCCGGGCAGTTCCTGACTCTCGTCGGAATGTTGTGCAGACTTTGACCGAAACTTTGGAGGAAGCCCGCTGTCTTGCGACGAAATGTACAGCGTTGAGCTATGGGGGTAAACTCCAAACTCAAAGTAACTTGGATTCACTGTGCGGAAAGCTTGACTTTCACATTCACGACTGCCAGTTGGTGATTACCAGCGGGATTATACATGAGAATCCCTTAGCTATTTGTCGTGTTACTCCTGAGTCTGTCCGCGAGGCTATGCGGTGGACCGTGAGGAACCTCCTTTCGCATCTTCAAGTTGGAAGCACAGACTGCAAACTTGGAGCCCTTGACAGAATGCTTCGGCTTATGTCCAATGACGATAAGAACATTTTGATGATTGCGAGCCAGGGTGGTGTGACAGCCCTGGTGCATCTCTTGGACTCCAGTCAGCCTGCTATCACGGAAAGAGCGGCCGCCGCCATCTATCTGCTTGTTCTCAACGACAGTTGTGAGCATGCGATCGTAGCAGAAGGGGGCATTGCACCTCTTGTTCGCCTTTTGGATTCTGGTTCTTCTCGCGCTCAGAAAAGCGCAGCAGCCGGGTTGCAAGTTTTGTCGATTTCAGATGAGAATGCCAGGACGATTGCAGCGCACGGAGGAGTTCCTGCTTTGATAGAGGTCTGCCTAGCGGGTACACCAAGTGCGCAAGCTGCCGCCGCGGGAACGATACGAAACCTTGCAGCTGTTGAAGATCTGCGAAGAGGCATTGCTGAAGATGGTGCTATTCCGATCCTCATCAACTTAGTATCATCTGGGACATATATGGTGCAGGAGAATGCGGCTGCCACATTGCAAAACCTCGCAGTCACTGACGACAGCATCAGATCGATAATCGTCGAAGATGGAGCCGTTTATCCCTTGATCAGATACCTAGATAGCTCCTTGGATGTACATGCACAGGAGATTGCGTTGGGGGCGTTGCGCAATTTAGCAGCCTGCCGGGATAACGTTGATGCTCTGCACAATGAGGGTTTCTTATTACGCCTAGCCAATTGCCTCTGTGCATGTAAAATATCTGTACAACTGGTTGCAACTGCTGCAGTTTGTCACATGGCCTGTTCTACGGAGGCTAGGAGGTCTTTGGGGAAAGCTGGCGTGATTGGTCCCTTGGTGAAACTTCTCGATGCGAAGTCTGCTACAGCACAGGAGTATTCTGCGCAGGTACATATTCTCTTAGTTTCGCATCTTTGTGTTCTTCTAACAGCTTTCTCAAGCATTATACGGTGCATAGGCTTGTGTCGTTTTCGCCATCCGCCTTACCCTTTGCTGCCTTCGTTGTGTAGGCCTTAGCTCTTCTTCTCCTCGATGAAGAGAACCGAAAATATTTTCTCGCTGAAGACTGGGGAATTGTTGGGTTAGTCTTGTTGTTGGACATACGCTACAAGGAAGTTAAGAAGCAGTTTCCAATCGCAGCACTCCAGGCTCTTTCAGGAAATGCCAAGTGCAGAAAGCAGATAGTGACTGCTGGTGCTTGTTACCATTTGCGCCAGTTGGCGGATATGAAAGTTACGGGCGCTAGAAGACTACTGGATAGATTGGGCACTGGCAAGCTAAGAAGTATCTTTTCCAAGACTCTAATGGTGAGTACATCTAGCTATTCTCCACTTTTCTGCATTTGAAGCTTCCCTTTGTGCAAACCTTCTGAGTGAATATTGGTGGTTTCATAGTGTTCGATTTTTGACAAAAAAATAGGGTTCTTGAACATAATAGCGGGTCGGGGCTGACCAGTTTCTCAACTGTCTTTGCAGATCCATGCGTTCACCACTTGATGAGCACAGTTGTTCTCAAAAGCGAATGGGAAGTAGTTGTTTGTTTTTTCTTAAAAAAACAAACCATTCAACATCATGAATGTGTAGGCATCTCAAGTTCTGTGCAGGACCATATCAAGTTGTGCCATAGATACATCCCCGAATCTGTTCCTTCGAACTTGAGGAGACAACGATACATAGATTAGTTCTGGGGGCATTCATTCAAATTCAATATTTCAGCTGATGATTGGATTCAGTTGTTGCATAGGAAACTGAGTAAAGCTTCTACGAGCTGGCACGGTAGGCAGCAGGGTCAAGTGTTTCCTCCTTTTGTAGTTTTAGGAGCTATTGTGCAGTTAACATTAGAAAATAAGCAGCCGATGACATGTCAGAATTGTACAACATTATCAAGATTTTTCTGACCCCTTCTCTTTCAAACCTCGATCGGTTCTGTTGCATCATCCCCCCCCCTGCGCCCATTACTCTCTCTTCAAAACTGCATTTCTCTTCGAAGAAAGGATGACTGAATCCTTGTTCTGATGTGTTTATTGTAACTGCTGATTGGGAGAATACACAGTCGGTATAAGAATGGGTGTTGTAGCTCTGTGATTTGACTTGGAGGGACAGAGCCTCGTGAAACCGCTGTTAGTTTGATCAACGTCGGTGAAATTATTCTGCATTTCTACGAAAATCCAATGTTTCCTCAAAAGTTGACCTCATGCCTGTGGATTGAGACCTCAAACCCTAGACCTAGTCACTCTCTGCAATGTATACATGTAACTTTTATTCTATGTGAGATGCTCCAATTACTTGAAGTTGCAAAGTGCTGCAATATTATTGTTAAAAGCAGGTCTACAAGCTCTATTAGACCATGATACATGTATGTATTGTGAATTTCTCTTCTACATTATATTCTATTGAAAGAAATCTTAACTGATATTGGTTATATCACATTGGTCTTGACCATAAGCGTGAAAGTGACAATGTTTGTATAGTCACTTCAATGGGCTTTGGTGTTTGACATTAGACAAATCATGTAAAAAATTGGATAATCTACAACATTGCATAGGAGTTTTGATGTTTAGATTCTAACACAATATAAAACAAATAATGGTTACAAAATACATATTGGTCAATGCCTTTCTTTGTCAAATTACACTAGTTTGCACTATTGTAACAATATGCAATTGTAAATGTTAATATTATGAAAATTTTATAAAGATGTTGGTTATAAAAAAATATCACAATTATATATTTTTAATATGCACTAATAATTTTTGCTTGTTCATATTTGAGTCTAATGAAAGTAGTGGATACAATATGAATTGTGATATTTCAATAACCTTGACATGATGTCTTTTTTGTGGTTTTGTATATAAATCTTTGTATTATATATTAGATTGAATTTGAAAGTTTAACTTATACTTAAGTAATGTAAAGGCATAGTTAATTAGTTGGACTAATCAATCATGATTTATAATACAATAATTAAATTATGTATGATATATAAGAAGTTGGAAGATGTACTTTATTTGATCATTAATGGCAATCTCACAAAAAGAAGTAAACCATTAGCAAGCCAAAAATTCTAATATCAACAATATAATAACCTTTTTAAGTCTATCTTATACTTCATTGAGGGATTTAAACACTACTTCCAATATAGTCTTTGTTGCTAATTCATGACCAGATGCTATTATAGCCACTATTCTTCTCTGTAATACTAGATCCTTGTTTTGCACCACCACACTCTTGTAATTAATATTCAAACTTTTCTACTCACCACACTATATAGCCAATACAACCTCAACCAATATACTAATAAATTATGCAACAATTGCATGTGCCATCACTATAGTATTAAAACCTCACTCTATTAGTTGTTTCACCATAGTCTCTCTACTAATTGGTTTGTAACTAACCTCATAAACAATCCTTGCAAAATATACTAGCATCTAATTAGCTATGAAATTTATTTTTTTTGGATGTAAATTAATAAAGAAATCTAAGACATAAAAAAAAGAAAAAAGGAGAGAAGGTATAAGTAAGACAATAAATCCTTGAAACAAGCAAGTGGTAGCTTTAGATAAAAAAATATTTAATTGATTAGTTTTGCTCCATGCTAAGATGGTTTTCTTTTCCAAGCACTTGAAGTGGATATGATCATTCTTGATATGTCTAAATATTATGTCCAACTTAGCCACATGCCCTACATTACCTCTATTATTCCTTATGAGTCACAAAATTGACTTATTTGTGTATTTAATACAAAAAATGCACTTATGATGGTCAAAGTCACTAGTCTAGTGAGTTAATATAGGAATTTTGAGATAAATAGCAAAAATAGACTACTAGTTATAAAGATGTAATCTATAATAGAATTTATAAAGATAGATTTTAAAGATAAATATGTTTTCTTTTAAATTATCCAATATTAAAAGAGGGTCTAATAGTAGTAGTTTTATTGTTATTGATTGTTTTAATTAAATTAAAAATTTTAGAAATAATTATTGATTTAAATATATTCAAAATAATAAATAATAATTAAATACTATTCATTAATAGTCCTAAATAAAAGAAAAAGAAAAATAGTAAGTAAAAAAAAAAACAAAAGAAAGAATAATAGAAGAAGGCAAAATAAAATAAATAAATAAATAAGATAGATAAAAGAAGATAAAAGGTGATGAAATCATCCTAAACTTGGGGGGCTTTATCATTGGTAGGGATCTAGGCTGCCTCAGATTTGGATTTGAATTTGGATTTTTTTTTGTTTTTTTGTTTATTTTGTAAAGTGGTGAGAAAACTTTAAAGTGGTGAAAAAACTTTAAAGTTTTGAGTGTGTGTTCTCTTATATGTATGTGTGTGGCTATAAGATGTTTTTTTCTTTGTTCCATTGAGGTGTTACAATGCAATATCATCTTCTTTTGTTTTGTATTCAATGTGGAGCCTCCAAAATCAAGGAGTGTGCAAAAGGTTTTTTTTTTTTTTTTTTTTTTTTTTTTCCTTCTTCCACTATTATTTCTATTATAGATTTCATTATTAATGGTAGCGGATCTTGTTTGGACTCTAGATTGGTTATTATGGTGATGTGGTTGCTGCTTCAACAAAGCATGGAACAAGGTTCAATAGAAAAGTTCATATCTGCTATTAAAAAGAATTCTCCCAGAGTGCTTTAGAACAATACAATCCTTATGCTCTAATATGACTATAGTATTGTATTACATGTATATCTTCCTTGAAAATGTACCTAGTACCTAGCTGTAAAAGGCAAGTAACAAAATCCTACAAAGTCTAAAAGAGACTTAAATAAATTTTAAGTAATCCTTAACAACTCTAATTAAACTTTAACCAATCCAAAAGAAATTTAAAAGAAGTTATAAATTAATCTCAATGAAAAATAATAAAAAAATCTTAAAAAATACAAAAATAAGAACCTTAAAGAAATAACAATAATCTTAAAAAATATTAAAAATAATTTTTTTAAAGAAATAGAAATCCTATAAAAATACTAAAAACAAACATTTTAAGTAAATCTTATATAAATACTTATCAAATCCTAATTAAATCTTAATTAACTCCCAATCAAATCCTAAATCCTAAAAAAACTCCAATTAAATCTTAATTAATGTCAATCAAATTTTAAATAAAATCCTAATGAAATCACAATCAAATTCTAATAAATTTTAATAAAACCTTAAATTAAATCCTAATAAAATTCTAAACAAATCTTAAACAATCTTAAGAAAATCTTAAGTAGATCTTAATTAATTATTATAGCTATTTTAAAATCTCAATAAATATTAATAAAATTCTTGGTCTTAACTAAAATTTTATTCACATCTCAATTCACAAGTAATTAAAAATCATACAAAATTTGAGGAGAATCCAACCTTACCTATTGAAAAAAAGCTTCCAAAATCTCTTGAATATTGGACTTGAATGCTTTCTTTCTCCAACTTGAATGTTGAACTTCCAATAACAATTTCTCCTTGATAAACTATTTAAGTGCTTTAAAAATTTACTTATATATAGATATCTAAGTCTAAATTAATTTCACCAATTTTTAATTCAATTGAACTTGCAAATTTTGCAAGATTGCAAAAACTCTCATTGATCCTAAATTTCAATTATTCTGGACAAAACCTACAAAAACTCTCATAACTTTCAATCTAATAGTTTGATTGTCATCCAATTTTTGACACATTAAAAACAAGCATAGTAAAGAATTGAAAAATTTTCACTTATAAATATAGTATGACATTCAAAAAATCATCAAATTTATGAATGTCTTTTTATTTATTAAAATATAATGCCTTTAAATACACCTTTTACTTTGTAAATCTCTCAAAACCTCAATATATCTTCAAATCATATGAAATTTACTTTCAAAAATCCTCTCATAAGTCTTATTTTAGAATCTACTCTTTGAACAATCAAAAAATACTTGAATTATTGTAGGTACATGGTTTTATACCTTGAGATGTGATTTTAATCTTGGTTTACAACTGGTCCACTTTGGAAATCAATTCTTCATATTTTGAAGTATTTTTTGTTAAAATTCATTTTTAATGCTCTCTTAAAAATGCCTGTATCAATTATTTATCTCATTTACTTTAATTTGGCTCATTTATGCTTCTACAAAGTAAATAGAAGTCCTTTTTATAAAAAGGCAGCATTAAGACTAAAGTTTTTACTATCTTTTTATCATTTATCCTTATTTTTCTATTTTATCTTTCTACTAGGATTTTCTATAATAATATCCATATTTGTATTTTTTTTACTATGTAGTCATGTTACTACACAATAACAACAAAAGGATTTAAAAGAAAAATTGATGAGTAAGCAAGGAAGTAGAAAGCATATTTTATGTAAGTAAGAATAGTACTATTAGACATCTTTCCGCAAATACAACAATTTTTATGCCATCAATAGTGGATTAGCAAAAATCATGTTGATTAAAAAAAGAAGTATGCATGTCAAAGAAGTAATAGCGTAAGTATTTTATATCACTATTTTTAAGCTACCCTCTCCATTTTGGCATGATTAATTTAACTTTGAACTAGAATTTATTGCTTGGTATAATATCTTTGAACAATCAGACTTGGATTAATCATGAGGCCAATTGTAGATGTGGATTTTTTTATCTTATTTTAGTAATTCTATAGAATATACTTGTGACTAAATAATCCAATAAAGACTACATTTCCCATTTTAGAGTTTAGTTCAAATGCATTATTATAGGATATGATTTGCTACCTGTAAATACACTGGGTATCTCGCTGTAGAGAGTTTAGCTTAAACCTTCATATATATCTTGTCTTAGCTTCCAAAACTCCTTTGATTTGTATAAAACTCAAAATATAACAAAATCCCTTTAAAATCCCTTCAAAACATATTTTTCCCACGAAGGGTTTTCTTGTTCCTAACTTTAAAAATTCATAA